TGCATGAGATGTTTCTTATTATTGTCTGCAGCAAGCTTGATTTCCCTAAGCAATTGCTTTAAGAGGGAACATTCATGGAATATAAATTCTCCTATACTTTTAACAAGGCATGCTGCACTAAATCAATATCTGGCCTGACAGCATCCAATGGGATGGGGGATGATATGCTAGTCCTTCTCCTGCCATTGGCCCCAGGAGCAAAGGGCTACCATATTTCTGGGACTTCCCTTTTCCCACAGACCCTATGCCTGACAACTAGGGAATTATAGCTCCAGATATTTCTGATCCCTTCTTCCCCTCAGGAATCCATAAGTTTAAAGGCCAGATCCTGCACAGTCAAGAGTACAAGATCCCAGAAGGCGTTCAGGGCAAACGCGTCCTAGTGATCGGTCTTGGGAACACTGGAGGGGACGTTGCAGTGGAGCTCAGTCGAACGGCAGCTCAGGTACAGCATCTCTGAATCCCACCCCCTGCATCATTTCTGGTTTCTGGAGAGAGGTATTCAAGATTATGAAACACATGGCCAGTTACTAAGTTATGTGGACACGGGGTAGAGTAAAAAAACAAAAGAAATTGAAAATCTGTAAATCCTCTCATGATCCTCCCTGAAATATTTAAAAATCCATGCTTTACAATACTGAACCATCTCCAGGAAGGGTCTAGGAAAACTACATGGATGCCAGGCCACTAGGCATTTTTCAGAGATGCTCCTGAAACAAGACCCAATGGACAAATGCTCCGTCCTCACCAATTATGTTTCTTTTACACTCTCTCTTTGTAATTCTGGGAGGGAAAAAAAAACCCACATAAAAATAGAAAGGGGAGATTGTTTCCTGAACATCTCCAAATTTTTAATTAGGAGTCAAATTCATTCTTTGTTTTAAGATTAAAAACCCCCTACTTTGTCCAAGAGGTGTACATAATAATTAAAGAAATTCCAAGCATAAATTCACAAATTAGAAACCTGTTTCACTTTACCATAAATTATAGTACAATGATTAGATCCGGAAAGAATAGATTTTTATTTGTTACAGTTAAAATTGCTTCCTCAAAACCTCATTTTAAATCCTGCATTATTTACATGTGAAAAATTGCCAGATCAATACCCCATATCTGCTAGTACTATTATTCTTGATATTAAACAGGATGAAAGGCCTTAACAGAGACATAGATCAGGTCAAAGTGATTTATGAAAGCAGCGACAGCAACAGAAGCAGCTAGTCCTTTGCAGATCTGGGTGCAAGTTCACGGGTCCTCTGATGTTGTAAGACCAGAATGTTACAAGATCATTTGAAACATACTGAAGAAAAATACTACAAAGTGATAGGGGGCACAAATCTGTTGCACATATATTTGTCCTTCTTGCCTTGCTTTTTAGGTACTTCTCAGTACTAGAACCGGTACCTGGGTTATCAGCCGCTGTTCAGATGGGGGCTACCCGCTTAATATGATGGTTACAAGAAGACACCATAATTTTATTGCACAAGTTCTGCCTGCATGGGTACTAAAGTGGATTCAAGAGAGGCACATGAATAAAAGATTTGATCATGCGAATTATGGATTAAGTATTACAAAGGGGTATTTATTTATTTTTTGTTCAGTGGTAAAGTTACTGAATCAATATTTCTCCTTCTATTTTATTCAGAGCTCAAAATGTTCAATAATTGTGACATTGCCTTTGTTTGTCCTGTTCTAAGCTTATTTTCAGAAGACAATGTCCCTCAGTACCACAGCAGTTCTTGAAACAGGAGTAATCTCTGTCTGGTAACAGAAGTAGTAATTCACGAGGCTAGAGGAAAATGAAGGATGAAAACTTTATTTCCAGTTTGAATATCAGGAAATTTAAATAGACCTCAAGGAATCTCAGGGTGGCTGCCATCCACAAATAGAATATTCGCAGCACCAGTGAGTGTAGATGGCCAGCTCTCATTACCCTTTAATAAGTTCTGCTCTGGCTGAATGATTAGAGGTATGAATTGCCAATAGGAATTTCTGGAATTCTATATTTTAATATACTTCTGTATAGAGCTGCACATTGGGAAGGAAGAGAAAACCTTTGAAATGCATGTAAGGTCATTAAATGTGATTTTTATTATATGCTTGACCCAGATATTTTTATTTGCAAAGAGAGCTTTCAACTTACAAAGGAAATTAATGGCAACAGATGATTTGACATGTAAATTTTATAAAGACATTATGTCTGCTGTGATTAGGTAGAATGATATTCATAATGAAGATATTTATCACTATCAATAAATTCAGATTTTTTTAATCCAAAAAGTTCCTTGAAATTTCCTCTTTGCTAAATGTCAATCCTTTGAGGCCTGCGTGATGTAAGACCCCAAACTGGTTATCATATGGATTGTTTATACTCCATCCCAACATTGCTCCAGGAATTAATTCCAAAAGGTTAAGAATTTAAAGCCCCGGGCAGGAAAGAGTAGGTTTAGTCATCTTCCACATGCCTCCTACTGGGAGCAGGAAAACAAGCATATTATCAAAACACTAAGCCACGCAGAACACTTTGAATTAGACATTAGTCAATTCACTCCTTTGGTTTGGTGGATAATTTCCCTGAATTGATTAAATAAATCATTTGCTGAGCGTCTCATAAGTGTAACTACAGTGAATAATTTTCTCCTCTGTGTCAAAGGAAAAAATCAAAAAACATTGTGAACGATGAGCTGCCTACCTGTATCCTCTGTGGGACAGTCACTGTGAAGACCAGCGTGAAGGAGTTTACAGAAACCTCTGCTCTCTTTGAAGACGGGACAGTGGAAGAAAACATCGACATTGTGATCTTCACCACAGGATACACATTTTCTTTCCCCTTTCTTGAAGAACCTCTCAAAAGCCTTTGTACAAAGAAGATATTCCTTTACAAGCGGGTCTTTCCCTCAAACCTAGAGAGGACAACACTCGCCATCATTGGCCTCATCAGCCTCACGGGCTCCATCTTAGCAGGCACAGAGCTCCAAGCACGATGGGCCACGAGAGTATTCAAAGGTACCTGCAGTCTGTTTAAAGCCCTATGTGACCAACTGAGTCTTGAAACTAGTGCCTTGAGATTTGGCTAAAATCAAACAAATGTGAGCTAAATTAACATAAAACATGCTTAAAAAATTTTTAGTAGAGAATTAATTTTATACATGTGTAATATCATGGTGGGTGTGTTCATGTTACCGATGTGACTAGGGGAAAAAGAGGCTTTGGCTCTGTGGATGGGATAAATTTGGACAACAGAATATAATCACAGTTCTCAGATTAACTGAAATTATTAGAAGCTTCGGGATCCTATTCCATTCCACTCAAGTCAAGCTATTTACTCTTAAGTCTTTCCATTTATTTCCAGCAGTAGAATTTTATATTGCTTTCCTGAGAAAGACATCGGAATAATACACACTGTGAATAAACTTGGGACCTAAGGAGATAGTGACTTTTAAGACATGCCCATAAAAACATTGCAGACACTGGACACTAACTGCTATCAGTTATCACTGTGTGAGCACAGGTGACAGGAGTCCGGGCTCCCAGGGTCCAATCCCAGCTCTGAAGCTCACTAGCTTTGCAAGGACCTCTTTACTTCTCAGCCCCGTTGCCTATAAAATGGGGATAAGAAAACCTCTTTTACAAGGATTTCATAAAATGGATAATGTCCACAAAGCAATTAGCACACTACTTGACACATAGTAAATGCTTAGTAACTGTAGCTGCCTTTCTTACTAATGCTGTTATTATCTCTAGATATTATTATCTCTTCTCTAGAACAGGGCAGGTTTTAGATTTGTGAGCATTTTAAAGAATTACATTTGTATTATTTAAAAATATAAAAATGAGTCACAGTTGGGCCAATCAGCTGTTCTTTAGCAGAATTTTGCCCCTAATGAATAAAAACAATCATCAATAATTTATAAATAGCATATAATGCAATACTAAGTAGTGTTGACTTCCATCCCACTGTACACATGTAATAGATATCAACCATACTGTACAATGTTCTCCTAAGTGGACAAATATGATATTTGAATTTGAGGGGGTTGAGAGTGGAGGAGAGAAGGTTAATCTCATTTGTTTACATTACAAAAGAAATTCCGCAGCCTTTCATTCAATTATCACAAATGTTTATTTCTTTAAGGACAATTAAAGTGCTTTCACTGCACTTTCCAATTATATTAAAACCACAGAAGACTCTTAAGTACTTGCTTTTTTTTTTAAGTATTTTATAATGAGCTCAAAAATGCTTATCAGAATGGTAGAGCTGACAAAACAAAACTTGATTAGATCACACCATAAGAGTGATTGCATGCCTTTCCAGAGAGCCTCCAAGGGACAATCTGGGAGTCACCGAGTGAAGTCTTTCCAGCTTCATACAGACTAAAATGATCCCAGTGGCAAGCACACTGTAGAACTAAGTCAGACCTTTCTCACGTGGATGGTAACCCCACCCCTGGCATCAGCACTTGGCCACTGACAGGGGCAGGACTGGCCGGAAGAGCAGAGACTGCCTAGGTGGGCTATTGAGAACAAGCACATCCTCACGATAACTCAAGCAGACAGAGCCTTTGTGAGACAGAGATTGCCAGGCCCCTTCCATGCCTGAGGCTCCCCATGTAACAAAAGTGATGACATGCCAAAACAGGGTTATAGAAACAGGGTTAATTTAAGTGATAACATGTAACCAGCTAACAGCTTTAATATACACATACACACATACACACACACACACACACACACACACACACACACACAATAAAATGTCAATGTATATATACATGATATAAATAATATTATGTATAGATATATGTAATGTGTAAGCAGATGAAGAGGGGCAGGTGCTGATGATCAGTGTTGACCAGTGCAGTGACACAGGCTGAGGGCTGGGCACAGGGCATCTGATCTGTCCTCACAATTCCAGCAGGAGAGTACCCTGGTTAAGTGAATTTGGAGGGGGATTTTACCTCCAGAAAATTACCCTCTGCACTCTAATTCCATTCTGAGCTTTGACCATCACATGTTCTGAGCTTGGAGCAGTGGGAGGACAGAAATGAGAGGGAGGAGAACTCAAAGGAAAAGCCACATGCGACTTCAGCGTTGTTTCTGACTTCTCTCACAGGACTCTGTAAGATTCCTCCATCTCAAAAACTGATGGCTGAAGCTATGAAAAAGGAGCAGCTCATAGAAAGGTATGAAATATAACCTACTACAGGAAAAACTTAGCAATATATTTCATTACAAAAATAAAGGCTTTAAATATTTAAAGCCATTTAAGCCATTTGTAGAGAAGCAGTATGGCAGGTTGGAATAATCACATTAGGAGACAGAAGAATCTGTTTTTAGTCCTAACTCTTCCACCAACAAGATTTATGGCCTTAGACGTGTCCAGTGGGGGCACCAGTTTGCCTCAGCAAAACATGGAGGCTGGCCCCTACCAGATAGCAATCCTTTGTTCACTTGCCCCCAGAAACTTACTGTTCTCTCTGCCTGGAATTTTTCCCTCCACCCAATACCTGCAGGCTCACTCTGCTCAGATGTCACCTCATAAGAGAGATGCCTTCTCTGACAACCAACTGGTCTCATCATTGTCTCTCCCCTTTACCCTCCTTCATATTTCTCCATAGTAACTATTACCACTTGATATATTATATATATAGTTGGCAAGGTTTTTTATAGCCTGCTGATTTCCACTGTTAGAATGTAAGTTCCTTGCCATCAAGGCCTTTGTTCTACTCACTGTTGAACTCCTGGTACCTAGAATGGTGCCTGTCATGTGATAGACACTTAAGATTGATTGATTGATTGAAAGAATGACATTGGCATTATCGTGAACATTTATAAACAACAGAGCCTTCATATACACTGTGCAGCTGACCCTTGAACAACATGGGTTTGAACTGTGTAGGTCCACTCATCTGCAGATTTTTTTCAACATAGTAGAAAAATTTGAGGAGATTTGTGAAAATTTGAAAAAATTCGCAAATTACAAAGCCTAGAAATATTGAAAAAATTAAGGAAAACGGGTGTCATGAATGCGTAAAATATATATAGATACTATTTTATCACTTACTACCATCAAATATACAAAAATCTATTATAAAGTTTTCAATTTATCAAAACTTGCACTCACACAGACCATACATTTGCAATCAAGAGAAATGTAAGCAGATGTAAAGATGCAGCATTAAATCATAACAGCGTAAAATTAACTGTAGTGCACACTGTACTGCTGTAATAACTTCGTGGCCACCTCCTGTCGCTGTTGTGCTGAGCTCAGGTGTTTCGAGTATCTGCTTAAAACACTATGTGATGCTAATCATCTCTGCCTGAGCAGTTCATCTCTCTGGTAAATCTTATATCACAGTAAAATGATCTCTCACAGTTCTCACATATTTTTCATCATGTTTAGTGCAATACCGTAAACCTTGAATAACACCATGGGACCCATCCAAAATGCCACTAGTGATGCTGGCAGTGCTCCCAAGAAGCAGAAAAAGAGTCATAACATTACAAGGAAAAGTTGAATTGCTTGATATGTACAGTAAATTGAGGTCTGCAGCTACAGTTGCCTCTCATTTTAAGATTAATGAATCCAGTATAAAGACCATTTTAAAAAAAAAAAAGAAAAAAGAAAATTTGTGAAGCCATCACTGTAGCTATGCCAGCAGGCATGAAAACCTTGCACTTTTTTTATGAAATACCTGTTTATCTTGTATTGAAAATGCAGCTTTTATGTCAGTGCAGGATTGCTGTAAGAAAGGCATTCCTATAGACTAAAATGATTTGAGAAAAAGTGAAATCGTTAATGACAAAGCAAAAGGAAGGTGAAGAATTTAAAGCTGAAGAACTCAATGCCAGAAAAGGATGGTTTGATAATTTTAGAAAGACGTTTGGCTTAAAGAAAATGTCAAGATAACAGGAGAAGCAGCTTCTGCTGACCCAAAGGCAGCAGGTGAGTTCCCAGATGTCATTAAGATGAGGAGAAAGAGAGAAAGGATATCTACCTGAACAGATTTTTAACGCATACTAAAGCACCCTATTCTGGAGAGGGGAAATGCCACAAAGGACATGTATTGGTAACGAAGAGAAGTGAGCACCAGGATTCAAGGCAGAAAGGAATAGGCTAACTCTTCTATTGTGTGTAAATGCCGTCGGGTTTATGATCAGGACTGCCCTGGTCTATAAAGCTGCTAACCCCTAAGCCTTGAGGGGAAAAGATAAATACCCACTGCCAGTCTTTTGGTTGTACAAGAAGGCCTGGACCAGAAGAACCCTTTTTCTGGATTGGTCCCATTGATGCTTTGTCCCTGAAATCAGGAAGTACCTTGCTGGCAAATGACTACCTTTTAAAGTTCCTTTGATATTGAACAATGACCCTGGCCACCCAGAACCCCACGATTTCAACACAAGGCATCAAAGTGCTCCATGGAAAGGATTGCCAAAGCTACGGAAGAGAACCCTAATAGAGAGAACCTCATGAAAGTCTGGAAGGATTGCACCACTGAAGATGCCATCATGGTTATAGAAAAAGCCGTGAAAACCAGCAAGCCTGAAACAATAAATTCCTGCTGGAGAAAACTGTCCAAATGTTGTACGCATTTCACCAGATTTGCGACAGAGCCAATCAAGGAGATCCTGAAGCAGATTGTGGATATGGGGGGGAAAAAAAAGTTGGGGATGGGGGAGGTGAGAGGTTCCAAGATATGGATCTCAGAGAAATTCAAGAGCTAATATATACCACACCAGAGGAATTAACAGAAGATGACTTGATGGAGATGAGTTCTTCCGAACCAGCGTCAGACAATGAGGAAGAAGATATAGAAGAAACAGTGCCAGAAAACAAATTGACATTAGACAATCTAGCAGAAGGGTTCCAGTTATTTAAGACTGATTTTGACTTCTTTTATGACATGGACCCTTCTATTATACAGGCACTGAAACTAAAGCAAATGATGAGAGAGGAATTGGTACCATATAGAAATGTTTTAGAGAAATGAAAAAGGAAAAAAGTCAGACAGAAATTACAATGTATTTCCATAAAGTTACACCATGTGTGCCTGCCTCTCTTGCCTCCCCTTCCACCTCCTCCACCTCTTCCACCTCTGCCATCCCTGGGGCAGGAAGACCGACCCATCTTTCTCCTCCTCAGCCTACTCACCATGAAGACAACAAGGATGAAGACCCTTATGATGATCCACTTTCCTTTAATGAATAGTAAATCATCATCATGCCATACAGTTAACAGACATGTGCATGCGTGCAAGTGTCTTCATATGAAAATCTAATAACTACATGGAAAGAACTGTAGGAGAAGTTTTTATCTTATCATCAACATTGCTCAAGTATTTATCGTGTAAAAATATCGTAAGACTTATGTGGAAATGGATCGTCCATCCTTACGTAGGCATGAGCTGAGTGATATTTGCGGTAATATAAAATTAATAATATGTTGGTTTTCTATTCTCCAACTTTGCTTTCAAAGAATTACATTACTATACAGTCTGCCTCTCTCATATTTGGGAAAACTATCAGCCTATCATCACAGGTAAGTGGGTTTTTTTTTTAATGTAACAGTGTTTCCAATACTGTATTATGAATATGACTGTAAGACTCTATGCCGTAAGAATTTTGTAACGATTCACTCATTCGTGCATAGGCCAGGCTGCAGTGAAGCAGTCGTATCAATTACACTAGGCTACAGTAAAGCAATCATGTTGCTGCTTCTTAATAATCGATGCATCGCTCATTATGCTTGTAAATAAGCATGAATTTCTTTTTCACAGTATCTTTTCAGTTTTGATATCTAGTGTTAGGAGTACATATAACATCGACAGTGTTTGGTATCATAGAAGACAATATTGACATAGGTACTGATAGATGATTCGTCTTATAAACAGGTGACATAAACTTATGGTATTGATAAATACAGGACAGTACTGTAAGAGCATTTTCTCTTCCTAATTATTTTCTTAATAATGTTTTTTCTAGCTTACTTTATTATAAGAACACAGAAAGTAATCATATAACATACAAACTTTATGTTAATCTACTGTTGATATTGTCACCATGGCTTCTGGTTAACTACTAATAACTAATTAGTATGGTAATTAAGTTTGGGGGAAAACAAAATTTTCACATGGATACATGGAGGGGTTGGTACCCCTAACCCTACCATTGTTCAAGGGTCAACTGTACTTATATCTATGTCATGTTTAGTACTGATACACCAAGTATGGCCCTCTCAACTCACAATTAACATCAATAAAAACAATTTAGGTGGCCATAAATGTGATGCTTTCTGACTATGTTAATTTATTCAACAACTATTATATTTGGGCTGATCTGATTACTCTCATATCAAATTCAAGAACTAAAACATTATCTCAAGCTCCTCTTCCAACTGCCTCCTTTTACCATCTCCTTAACAAAATTAAATACACTCACAAATACCCCATCTAGGTAAACTCCTCTTGTTCTTTCCTTTCCAACACAGAAGAACATTCCCAGTGTGGTTTGAATCTGATAAAAAGAAACAAAATGGTGGGAGGAGCAGTAACTTGTAACTTGAAAATGAAAAGTGATCCCTCTTTTTCCCTGTCAGGGGTTTGATGAAAGATACCAGTGGAGACAAACTTGACTACATTTCCTACATGGATGACCTCGCTGCATGCATAGGCACGAAGCCCAGTGTCCCACTTCTGTTCCTCCAGGATCCCAGGCTAGCTTGGGAAGTTTTCTTTGGACCATGTACTCCTTATCAGTATCGCCTAATGGGCCCTGGAAAATGGGATGGAGCCCGAACGGCCATCCTGACCCAGTGGGACAGGACGCTGAAGCCCTTAAGAACTCGAGTAGTTCCTGATTCCTCCAAGCCTGCCTCCAGGTCACATTATCTGAAAGTCTGGGCGGCTCCTATCCTACTCGCCTCCCTTCTACTGATCTGTAAATCTTCGCTTTTTTCGAAATTGGTGCCAGATAAACTACAGGACAGAATTTCCTCTTACCTAGTAAGTATTTGGTGAGGATGGGTCTGATTGATTATGAGCATTGTGCTAAGTCACAATAATTCTATTTCCAAATGGTTTATTCCCCCTCCCCTCTCCATCCTAACTGCTATCAGCCCAATTCAGGTCTAATCACCTCTTATCTGAATTATTGTACTGTCTTCCTCTTGAGTCGCAGGACCTGCTTTTTTGCTTCCTTTTCCAACTCACATTCTACTCTGCTACCTACACAATTACCTAAGATAAAAATATTGTCATTGTTTCTTTCCGTCAAGATCCTGGTGGTGATTAGACAGTACTCCAAATTAGGTAATTTGTGGAAATTTTAATATCAAGATTATGTCAAATGGTTTGGGCAGAGTGTAGGGAAATCCTACAATTGAATGAAATACTCCCAGACTGGTAACAGTGAGGTGCTCTTACCATCCACAGACCTAATGAGGCAAGGGGAGAAACCAGTTATGAATAGGAGAGAGATACCACCTCTCAACAGCTATGACCTTCAGCCGACCAAGAAAGGCAGTCCATGGTGACCCCAGAAGTACAGCGCTGGGAAAGTAAATTGCCTGATCTCATTCTCTTCCCTCCTGCTGATCCCCTGCCCATGCTCCCCAATGGCCTGATCCAACTAAACTCAGAAGGCAAGGTTGCTGACTGTTGTGGCTTGAATTGATATATTCAAGTCCTAACCCCTTGCACTTGTGAATGTAACCTTGCTTGGAAATAGGATCTTTGCAAATGTATATAAGTTAAGATGAGATCAGACTGGAATAAGGTGAGCTAGATCCAATATGACTTTTTATAAAAGAGGATAAGACACACAGAGATGCAGACACAGTGGAGAATGCTTGTGAAAACAGGCAGAGAGATTGGAGCCATGCACCTACAAACTAAGGATTGTCATGCAAGCAAACACTGGAAGCTAGGAGAGAGGCATGGAACAGGTTCCCCCTCGAAATCTCCAAAGGGAAAAAAACCCTGCCAACAATTCCAGACTCCTAGCCTCCGGAACTGTGAAAGAACAAGCCACCCAGGCTGTGGTCCTTTATTGTGGCTGTCCTAGGACACCAGTACAACTGATGTCGTCCGTGGAGGTCAGCCTCCTAAGCCACAGAGCAGAGCAAAGATGATGGAAGGTGTATATAGAGGGGCAGCCAGAAAGGATCCAATGCAGTCACGTCGCTTTCCATTCAGAAATCCTTCAACGTTCCTCCCTTGATTAGAGATAATAACCCAATTCCTTAGCCTGGGAGAGGAGCGTCTTCATGATCTGAGTCCCTTTGCCCAGGTCACCAGAATCTGGTCCTGCAGCTTCCCCTCCACTTCAAACGCTGCCATCCAGTACTGCTAAACTGTGAACTGTGTCCTGCCTCATCACTTCGACACCAACTGTTGCCTCCGCCAGCCACTCGAATCCACACCCGACTGTCTCTCAAGGGAGAGCTTGATTACCTCCCTCTGTGAAGCCTGCCCTGAATCCCCGAAGCAGAGCTGACTGCCTTTTCGTAGTGAGTACAGCCCGTATACCACTGTCATTGCTCTTTGCCTACTGAGGTATACTTTTCTTTTTGTGTCTGTCTCCCAATGAATGGTGGGTTCTTGAGAGGAACCATGTCTTGTTCAGCTAAAACACTGCCTGACACAAAGGGTTGCAAAATAAATATTTGATGACCAAACACTGGTTTCACTGACTGGCGTTCCTTTTGTCTCCTCTTCTACTCACATTCGTTTCTTCTGCCAACTCGACGAATTACCTCAGATGACCTCAGCTACGCAAAGGAGCAAGGACAGTCCATCAACAGCTACGTTTATGAGTAAAAGACAATCCACATGGCAATCAGAATAAATACAACTATACAGCAACTGGGAGCCGTGTGTGCTGGTTGAAAGCTCTGACTCTAGAATTCAACCCAAATTATAATCCCAGCCGTGCCCTTAGCTGTGAGGCCTTGGCCAGGTTACTTAGCCTCTCTGAGCCTTAAGTGTCCTCATCTGGAAAATGAGGAGACAGGAATGCTGTTATCTGCCTCAAAAGTGAACATTCAGTGAGACAATGTAGGGTGTTACTTACACAGTGAATTAGCTATTAAGAGCTGAAGAGACCGCGGACCTTTTCGATTGTCTGAATCAAAGGATTTGAAACCTGTTGCCTGGCTCTGTTCCCTGTTGCCTAATCAAAGAGTATGGCCTTTGCTCTCCGTGGATTCTCCAGTAGCACTTTCCAAGTAGGATCACTCTTTGGTCCTCATGTCCCCCACCAAATCCTGAGGCCTGTTACCACCACCATCGCTGCTGCCACCACTATACCAGCCACGTGCTTCTCAGATGGACCCTCCAGGATGCAGCCAGCAAATAATAGCAAAGGAAGAATTATTCTCAATCCTTAGGAGTGGGCCTCCTGATGTAATTTGTTCATGTGTCTCTAGGTTTTTACTGACGACATCCTCCAGTAGAAGAAGCACTTAATTCCAAATCTTCAAAACCAACTCAAACTGACCAACAGAAACAGTGTCACTGGAGGACGGAGGAACAAAAAGTGCTCAGTCACAGGGTGGGATCTGAGTTGGGCAGACAATGATCTGGAAGCAGTCACAACTACACTCCACACCACCAAGGGCCTTTTAGGTTAGTTTTACAGTTTACCTGAGGTATGGAGGGCACGTGCTTGGGAACAGGATGTGCATTCCTAAGTTAAGATTTATGAGTAGGGAGGTGCCCCAGAAGTACCCAGAGAGTGCAGGGAGGAAGGAGCGAAGACAAGAGCATGGGCCGCCCGCTGGCCCTCCGCTGCCTGCTGACCCTGCTGCTGCCGCTCCTCGCTCCAGGGGCCTCCATGTCCCCAGCTGAGCGCATCAGTCAAGCCTACGACCCAGCGCTCTACATGCGGAAGAATACTTCAACAGTGCTGCAGACTTACCTCCAGTGCCAAGGCAGCCCCTTGAGTGACTCTGGCTTCTCAGCCCCAGAGCTCCAGCTCAGCAGCCTGCCTCCTGCCGACATCTCCTTCAAGACCTGGCATGCCCTGGATGATGGGGAACATCTGAGCCGTGTCCAGGGGCCCTTCCTGGCCTTGACCCAGCACCTCCAGCTCATGGGGAACAACCAAAGAGACCTGAACCCTGGCAGTCCCATCCTGCTGGCTCAGCTCGGGGATGCAAGACCCAGGGCTCAAGGCCTGCTGGGCAACATGGCTGCCATCAGGGCTGCCCTGGGTCTGCCCAACCCCCCAGTGGAGGACACTCCTGGACTTGTCCCCTTCGGGGCCTCGGCCTTCAAGAAGAAACGTCGAGGCTACATAGTAACCGGGGAATATGGCCACTGGCCAGACCGAGCCATGAGGGACTTGGCTCTTCTCAAGGCCAAATACCCCATATAGAGGAGGACTTCCGATCAGAGGCAGCAACACTTCCCCTTTCAGACTCTTTTCTGCCTTGCTCCTTGGCTAGAAGGGAGACACATCCTGTCTAGCAGACAGGGCTTCTGTGACATGGACTTGGGGAAATTTCCTGGGAGCCAGGCCTCGAGTCCCTGTTGCCTGGGCCTTCCTGCCTAGGTCCTATGGCCTCCCTTCCAGGTCTGGGTGGGACTCTGTTGGTAGCATCTCATGGGTTACCAGCCCAGGGGCACTGGTTGTCCACTTCCCGGGTGGAAATAAGTGTCTCCTTGAAGAGGCTTCAGGCCCCACTATAGGGAGAGCAAAGTCGGCCTCCCTCCTGGGCTCTCCCGAGACCTTCCCCTCCATGGAATTTCCAGGAGGTCCAGGGGCTGCCTTTTGTCTCTGTCTACCTCGCTTTCTGTATGAAGACATGGGCTTCTGAGCAAATAGGCCTCCCTTCTTGCGGGAATGCACTTCCTCCCCTAGTCGACCTCTCTGACTATGGCCACTGTTCCAACTTCCCATCTTAAGGGGCTTCACTCCTGATCAATGGATGTCCAATTCTTGAAAGACTAAGGGCTCATGTCACATATTTCCTGCTCAGACACATCCACTTCTATTCTGTGCTGACAGATTGTATCCCTGGCCTGGGGCTCTCACGAACCTCCTGTCTATACTGTGGCTTTTAGAGATGATGGGGGACCAAGTTGTACCCCAAGGAGCCTACTCTCCTTAAAAGTGTCTCCCCACTTTCAACAACTATATACCAGTAACTTTAGTGTTCTTTTTATTTTTAAACATTTTATTTACAAAAAAAACTAACTTATTCTCAGAAATGAAACTCTTTCAGTGACTAAAAAGAAAAAAAAAGATTTACGAATGGGTAACTAGTCTTGTGAGCATCAGGAATACGTCAGGGAAAGCTTTCATCATTGTCTGGGGACTAACAGAGCATAGAGGCCACCTGGTCCTAATGATTATTAAACAATATCTAGTAACTACAAAGCCCTTGACAACAGAGAAATGATTCACTGCCCAGTACAGTCCTGGGTAGGGTCAGTGAGAGGACAGAAGAAACTGTAAGGGCCCAAGATGGCATCACTTGTGCTAACAGCCATACACGTGTCATACATAAGCTATCTATACCCAAGTTCTTAAGGGAGAAAGCAAAACTGAGATGTTATTATTAGCTCATTATTTTTAGTGTCGCTATTTTTGGGGGGGGGTGTTAATTTTTAGATGAGAAATCAAAGTCTCGTAGATACTAAGTAATTTGCCCTGATTCAACACAGCAAGTAAGAGGCAGAAGAGGGATTTGAACCCAAACAGATATAACCCTAAAGAGCAGGCTGTCTCATTAGTTGCCTTGGGAGGCAACTCTTCTATTCATTCCTTACCACCTCAGTTTGCTCGTCTATACAGTCCATGCTGGACACCTCCTCCTCCAGGAAGGCTTTGTCTTCCTGTTCTCTGTTCCTTTCTCTACACTTGCAATAGACTTCTAAACATTACACTTAACCACATTCCATGACCCCAGTTCTGAAAGAACAAAGGATACCAGGCAAGGGCCACTGCCTATGAATCATTTTAAATGAGAATCAAATTTTCACAGTAAATAGTTGGGGTGGGGGAGGAATCCAGTTTTACCAAGATACCAACTTGAGAAATGAAACCAGAAATTATGAAAATGTTTGCTTTGCCTTTTATTGAACCAAATTTTAATTATAATCGCAACAATGTGCTAATGAGAGTTGCCTCATTATCTGAAATTTTATATGACAGCAAAATAAACCATCCTCCACCTCATACATTCTCATAACATTGTACATGGAATTTGATTTCAGGAATCCTCAAATCCTGTTAGTGGAGACACTGGGATCTGCTTTAAGAAACTCAGCCCAGCTGTAGTCTGATCCTGATCAAGTATTTCTGATCAGGTCTCATGCACAGGGAGGAACCAATCAAATGCCTGACCTGCTGTGTGTGCAGTTCCCTGGGAGAGGTAAGTGGGAGAATCCAGTCTGGGCTCAGACTTGGGCCTTTGTAAGGGGTCACGGCTCCAACTGACACTGGAACAGTTTCCCTCAGAGCAGCCGCTATGAGACTTTCCACCTCCTCCATTAAGAGTGAAACACAGGCCCGAGGGATAATTCATAATCCCATATTTTAAAATATTACTAAAGTCATTTTATCTTCTATCATTTATCATATGGTTCATATTTTCAATATAAAAGTATGATTTAAATGAAAGAATGCAATATTAAGCATTATGAGGGAAACCACATTTCGCAAGTCCTTCCAAGGAAATTAAAAATAAACCAGCTGTAAAAGTCTTGTTCAACAACAGAATGTGTGCAAAGCTTGCCATCACAATTAAGTACTTCTGTTGTGCAACTTCTGAAAATTTATCTCCCCAAAAGGAAATCTTTCAAGTGAAGGGAAATCACTTTTTAAAAAGGACTAAGCTTCAGAGATTGCATTTTCTAGTTTAATAACAGTATGTGTAACTTAAGAGGAAATAAATAAGCTCAAAAAGCATTATTTTCTTCGATTCCTCTTACGCATGCAAGTTCTGACACTTTGAGCCTCTCCACGGTGAGCTCACTGTAGCTCTTCTGGCTGACTGGTGAGTCTCCTTGGGAACAGTAATCAGAGCCCGTGCCATTCACTCTTTCACTCGGTGGGACAGCAAGTGAGGGAAGACCTCACGTTGCTTGTATCAGGCTATCTCACCTCCCTGAACCACCCCCAGTTAACTTCCAGGTGCGTGGCAGGTGAACAACGGGCAAAAATTCAGACGCAGTGGTTCACTGGCAGCAGCCAAAACAAAAACAATAGACAAAAGCAGAGAGGAAGAGCAGCCAAGACAGAAGACAAGGAGAGACAAGAGCTCCAGCTAGAACAGTGGAGTGCTCTAGAGTCACGTGGGGAATTAGCCCTCTCTCAGGAACCTCGGAGAACACCACTAACTTGAAAGACAGAAAACCAGTCAACCACAGTAGCGCAGCTTTCTGGGGTTATTAGGCAGAGGGTGCCCGATCCTTTCCAGCAGTCATTTGAGAGAAAAACGCTTAGACTATACTCAAGACATGTTAGTTGGACTAAATCATCTTCTTTTGAGAGGAAACTGGGTTTCTGAAAGTAGTTAAAAATCATTTGGAACCCAGTATGGGGGTATAAGATATAAAGACAAAGTGAGAAA